TTCCTCTCTGGGTCCTGCTGGAATTACCTAATTGTGCCCCTATTGCGAACATCGTCGCTTCTATGGCTTCCCCCTGCCCTATGCCCTTATGACACTCAGTCCGATTTTGCTCCATGGTCTACAAGTGTGGGACTCGGTACATACTCCAGTGGTCTGATGTCACCTTTCCTACCTTTGCTCCCAATCGTTAACAACCCTCTTTTCCTACCAGGTTTATATCAACCAAGGGTGTTTTCTTGGTGAGTGGCCAATGGTTTTTCGCAGGTGTGCCATTTTTTGACTTCTCGGTCCTTCCCCACCTGGATTTCTCCTCGGGAGTCACGGGATGTCCCTCCGCAGAATGTTTTCGTTACCTTCAATTGCGGCATTGGCTGACCTCACTGCTGGGCACCTCCATTTTCCCGTTTCGGAAATCTGCCTTTGAACAGGTTTGCCAACAGCGTCTGGGTGCCCCGGGCCTTATTTCCCTTCTTTATGCAGCTTTGAACAGACGCTCGCCGCATACTTCTGTCTCATATGTCGTTCAATGGGAGCGCGACCTGGGGGCAGTCATGGATCTGGAATAGGGCCTGGTCGTTTATAGCCAAATGTTCCTTTAATACGACCACGCTGGAGGCGGCATACAAAGTATTGTTTCGCTGGTATTGGGTTTCCGGCTCGCCTGGCCAAGGCAAACCCTGCCTGTAGTGATCGATGCTTTCGGGTTATGGCCATCGTGGTGATGTATTGCATATGTGGTGCTCATGCCTGAGACTGATTGGTTTTTGGTCTCGTGTGTTTGGCCTCCTTTTTACCTTGTTCCATCTCCCCATACGCTGGATGCTCGGTACGATTTGCTTCATTGTCCCATACCGGGCCTCCTGGCTCATCAGTGGAAGTTGGCTTCCTATTTGTTTTTGTCGGCCACTAGAACAATTGCTCAGGCATGGAAGCGCCTGTTTGTCTCTCTTCAGGGGATTCGGGACCGTAAGACCACTTAAATGCTTAATGAACAGATCTTGAGTATTTGTAATGACTCCCAACGGAAATTTTTGAAAATATGGGAGCCATGGTTGCAATATGCCCTTCCCACGCTCCCCCCTCGGCTAGTCTGGGGCTGTGATGTTGCTCGGTATTGGTGTCCCCGAACCCCTGCTTATGGCCTTGTCATCTTTTTCCTTTTGTACTCCTCCTTCCTTTTCTATTTGTTTCTTTTTGGTGTGGCGGTGGATAGCTGCCTTTGGTTTGAGTTATTGTCGATTGTTATACCAATGTTTTTGTCATTTATGTGCCATTGATAGCCCCTGCGTGGGCGCACCTTTTGCTCTGTTGGTGTTAGAGCACTGTTTTCTTTATTTTTTTTTCTGTGCAATTGATGACCTCTGCGTGGGCATGTCTTGTTGCTCCTGTTTTTTTTTTCAATGTTTATAAACTAATAAAAATCATTGAAATGCAAAAAACACTGACACTGTACTAATGGCACTGGGCATGAAGTGATTAACATCTGGGGCGATCAAAGGGTTAACAGTGTGCTTTGTTCTGTTTTACATAGTGTGCTGTGTGTGATTTACTGTGTAGACAAGCTGCTTTGTATTGCTCTGCTGTGCAGAATAATACAAAGCAGCCTGTTTGTGCTGACAGGGGAGAGATCTGTGTTGTTTACATACAGACCTCTGCCCTGTCAGCTCCGCCAAAGATCACCAAGTCCCAGCCGAGAATCAGTGGCCGTGACCCGGTGATTGACATGCAGAGGAGCCAATAGTGGCGTGGGTAAGGAGCGCGCGCCCCCCCCTACCCGGGGAAACAAAATCACGTATATATACATATGATTTTGCGCATCCCTGCCACCCTGTAGCAGTATTTCTGCTATAGGGTGGTCAGGAAGCGGATAAAAGAAAAAAAAAAAAAGCAAAATTGTTTTGGCTGTACTACAGGTACAAACAACTAACTTACACATATGTGGTATCACTATGATCGTCAGGAGCAGGAGAATTTTATTTTGGGTTGCTTTCTGATGGTAGGCTATGGTAGTAGCAAGAAACATACAGCTAAATTAAAACACTTTTTTTGTTTTGTTTTGTTACTATTTTGGGCCAGTTTTCCTTTGATAATAATATGTGGTATCACTGTGATCGTCAGGAGCTGGAGAATTTTTTATTTTGGGGGTTTTTTTTTTGGTGGTAGGTTATGGTAGTAGCAAGAAAAATATAGCTAAATTAAAACATTTTTTGTTTTATTTTGTTACTATTTTAGACCAGTTTTCCTTTGATAATAAAAAAAAAAATCAGGAGATAACCATTACCATTCATCACCAAACGAAAGCCCAATTTGTCCTGAAAAAAAACAAGGCATAGTCCACCTGGATGTATAAAGTAGTTGTGGTGATATGTACGGTTTTACTAACACATGTCAAAGTTGCAAAATTGCGCTTGGGCATTAATATTTGCTTTACTCTTAGGCGGGAAGGGGTAAACAATCACCAGGACAGGTTACCATTAGGCTGAGTTTGTTCTTAGCGTTGTTGAACCCCATGGCATCATCAATGGTCTTACCTTCAATGTGTAGACCCCCATTCGGCCAGGAACTTTGTAGAACATGCCCTCTTCCCCCCGGGAGTTGGTATGCAGCATGGCATTGAGGCAGGCCAGAGGAGAGGTGCCGCTGAAAACAAGCACAAGATTTGTTACATATCATGGTGTCACCACTAATCGAGGACTTCTCCTCTTCCTCAGAGCCTACCAAACTAATAGCTGCTCCTGGATTAATATTTGGTGTTGAAGTTCAACCACTAATCAATCCAGGGGGTGTCTCCAGGCCGCCTATGGGCGGAGATTAACTCTGTATATCTCAAACACCAAATGACACCACCCCTTAGATGTATAATTATCCTGCGGGCTAAGGCAGAGTGCAAAGCCACAGAGGAATGACACCATCATCCAAAAATTAGGGAAGGGAGGGGAAAAAAAACAATCCACCACAATATAATCAATATTATGTAGTATATTATTATTGAAACGATAAATAGATTGGGCTTACCCGGATATAGATGTTGTATTCAGAAAGTGTAGCAATCCTATTTAACCTCAGATATTTGCCAAAAGGTGCTGAGGGCTGAACAGTCTGCATGAAAGGAGAAAACAGGTGGCGCACACACCTAGTGCATTATCCAAGGTTTATTGTAGGAGTGAAAGAATAATAAAAAAACATATTCACAGACGAAGCATGTATCTAAAAAGCATAGAAAAATGACAATGGCCACAAGGGCAGGCAAGGTGTTCTCACTGTCAGTGCGGTCAAATGGCTGACGTGTTTCGAGGACGAATCCCTTTCCTCAGAGCTGATGACCAGTCTCTGATGCAGATGTATGATGAATGCAAAGTAGGAGCCTTGCTGTTGATGCGGCATCAGCTCTGAGGAAAGGGATTCGTCCCCGAAACACGTCAGCATTTGACCGCAATGACAGTGAGAACACCTTGCCTGCCCTTGTGGCCATTGTCATTTTTCTATGCTTTTTAGATACATGCTTCGTCTGTGAGTGTTTTTATTATTCTTTCACTCCTACAATAAACCTTGGATAATGCACTAGGTGTGTGTGCCACCTGTTTATTCTCTATCCAGTGGCTGATCTCCCCGTCTGAGGAGGGTTGCACCCCTGAAGCATTTCCTTGGGTTGTCGCTGTCCTGGTACCCTTGGCTTCCCTTTTGGCTGTACATATCCTGAGGCGCTGGAGAGTACATACGATATCCGGTTCGGTAGTCTGCATGAAAGGGCATGTTCCCCAAACACTGTCAACTCCTCCTCTTACCTGCATTCCAACTATGCGTGCCATGAAGTTGGAGTGCCACTGTACTGTGATCACAAAAGCTCAGAACGGGGGGGGGGGGGACAAATACCAGACCATCACAGAGCCCCCTGATACGGGGCTGCATTCCAGTTTGGAGTGCATGGTCCTCATGGGGAATATGCAGGGGTATTGGGCATAAGGTAGTGCGTTTCAGCCAGGGATGCAAACGGAATGTCCCCTGTACCATGTGACTCTCCAACATAGAGCGCATGCACCCCGTAGAAGATGCAGAATGTCTGTGCGTTCCAGCATGGAGTGCACATGCCTTGTGGATGAGCCAAAATGGTCGTGCGCTCCACCATGGAATGCAAATGAAATAGATTTGGTCCACCTAAAAAGGACCAGTAGCAGCAGTGCCCCGCGGAGCAGACAGCCCCCAACAGGACAAGCAAGGGGCACTAATAATGGCATCACAAAAGTGGTGATAAAAAAAAAGGGAGGGGAGGGGATGTGATGTGTGTGATAGATAAGAACATGGATGGATGAACTGTCACGCCTGTGGCTGCTCCACGCACCCCCCAAATATGCTAGTAACTGATGGAAACATATATAATATAAAGATGAATTAAATATGTATGACTAAGAAACGATATGTAAATATAAAAATACAATTGTAAAACATAACAAAAAGAAAGGGCAGTACATCAATACATGAAAAAGGCATACTCTCCCCTCGTACAGAACGTATGACCTTAACCTCCCTAGCGTATGATTATTTCAGATTTTTGGTGCTGAAAGCAGGTACCATTTTTTTTTCATGGAAATATGTAGTTTTTTTTTATTGCAGGCCTATAATTTTTAGGAATAACTCACTGAAATCTGTCCAAACAAGCGTCTATTAAACATCCCGGGTATGATAAAATTTGAAACACGAAATCATAAATTATAATTTAATAAATAATCATAAAAAATAATAATATAATAATAATATAATTCAATAATATAATCAAACCAAAAACACTGAAATTTGAAATATAGCGCCAAGTTCGCACATCGCTGAGCAAATAATCGCAGAATCGTTTTCAGTGTCTGATGAGGAATTTCCCCCACGAATCATTATCACTCAATTCTGCAAGTGGTTCTGATTTACTATCGCTGTTCTCTAGCTGATCTAAACCCGCTTTTGACCTAAAGGGACGCTTTTTGGACGCCATGGACGTTTCTCAAGTTTCCAGGCAGAAAGAACAGTAAAAATGCAGGCAGGGCGCAGGACAAAGCACTCGGGACAAAATGTAAGTGAAATGGTTTGATACAGTAATGGAATTTTACTATGTAAGATTCGTTTAGAAAAAAATTACATTTTTTTAAATTTTCAAATTTGCCGCCGGTTCTCGCGCCCGTACGTCCCAACGTCACAGGGACCGGAACACAGAAGCCGGATGCCGGCATCGGCCGGAGGAGATGCCGAGGACGCTGCAGGGGACACATCGTGGGAGCGAAGGACAAGGTAAGCACTGCAGGGACTCCCTATGCAACGCCGCATGGTAAGCCCGAGTGTAGCTCGGGGTTACCGCTTTTGGTACTGAAACTTTACCCCGAGCTACACTCGGGAATACCGCCAGGGGGGTTAATGCATGAATGAAATAACATGTACCTTCCTAAGACACAACTGTGGAATGCAATCCCATATAGTGTCAATAGGTGCAAGTCTAAAATGTAAAGGGGCTGATCTCAAATGTGGCAAGTGCGAGATGGCGATATGGTGTGATACACGTGCATACAAACGCACATAAGAGCCAAAATAGCAGGGCACTAAAAACAATACACAGGTGTCCCCAAAACACACTGATAGATAAAAGAGGGGACATAACTGCAGCTAAAAAATTCACAGGGTGGCGCATAATATGCATACTGTGGCCACCTACTTATCTAGTCATTTGATGTCTCAAGCAGCAGGGAAAAGGAAAATTATGCAAAACAGTATCTTTATTACAATCACAATGATCCCCTGAAGGGTAGGCTTAAGGCAGACCATAGACGGTTCGTTTATCGGCCGAATTTTCAGCCAATAATTGGTCGTTGCTGGCAGCGATGCTGCCACCAATGTCCACAAAAAACAGCCGTTGGATTTTCCAACATGACCGATAAAAATAAATGAGGAGATCCGCGAAAAACGTTGGGCTGGCCCCACTAATGGCGATTATCGGCCGATTTTTCGCACGGACGAAAATTCGGCCGATAAAAAACCCTGCATAAGACATGGTGAACATACAGTCAATCAGATAATAAAAACAGTGTATTAAAAACAAAACACAAAAAACAAAGTCCAGCGCATTCACTTAGACAATGTGAGGCTAGGAAAGCGATAGTTGTGAACCTTCTGCGAGAAGAAATTCTTCAATAAATGAATGATGGCAGCAAAACTGCAGAAATTCATGAAAAATTCACTTCCAACGTGATCAGGATATAGGATCTTCATGGCTAAAAATCTTGCTGATTTTAAGTGATAACAACTGAAAGAGGATAAATGACTTCCCCTCCCTTACATAATCATCGATTCTAGGTGAATGAGCTGGACTTTTGCTTTTTGTTTTTATTATCTGATTGACTGTATGTGGTGAACATACAGTCAATCAGATAATAAAAACAAAAAGCAAAAGTCCAGCTCATTCACCTAGAATCGATTGTCTTATGCCGGCTATAGACGGTTTGAAAATCGGCCGATTTAAAAAAAAAAAAAAAAAAAAAAGCTGATTTTCCAGCTGAAAAAAAAATCGTCCGATTTTCGCGCTGTTAGTGGATTAATTGGTCGGCCGTTTTTCGGGTTTTTTTTTTTGCACATTTTTTTTTCAGTCGTGTTGGAAAATTCACGGCCGATTTTGACGATCGGCTGATTTTCCCGGCAATGATGGGCAAATCGGCCGATCGTTTTACCAATAAAAAATCCATGCATGAGCCGTGACCTGCAAGGGACAGAAGTTATGGAGTGAACTCTGTGACTTTTTTTTTTTTTTTATACCGTTGGTGGTAACGTCGGCTGAATGAACGACTGATGTTCCTCTTTTTTTTTTTCGAAAAATCGGCAGATGTTCGACCCGTCTATGGCCTGCATTAAGCCTATCCTTCAGAGGATGATTGTGATCATAATAAAGATACTGTTTTGCATCCACTTTGATGTATTCTATACTCTGCTTTGGATAAAGATACCGATCTCATTTGCAGTTTGCTCTTGTCAACTGCTCCCTTTTTATATGCATTGTATTCAGTTAATAATCCACACCTCTATTTATGGATGAGTCAGAGAAGTCTGAAGGGTAGTTATACCCTATGATATGGCATTTTCTTTTTTGTTCAAAAGGAAAATGATGCCTAAAAATGAAAGGCAACAGGAAATTCCCACTGGTGTCACCATAGGATATAGAATTAAGAACAACACACACACACACACTTGTGCTCAAAAGTTTGCCTCCCCTGGCAGAAATTATGAAATGTTGGCATTGATATTGAAAATATGACTGATCATGTCACAAAATGCTCTTTTATTGAAGGATGATGGTCATATTAAGCCATTTATTATCAAATAGTTGTTTGGCTCCTTTTTAAATCATAATGATAACTTGTAAGATGCAGATGTCTATGCAAGTCACACCTGAAGTAGTGCATGCACTACCTTAGAAATCGGTGCAGCTCTGACCAAGTCGGAATCGCACCTATATGACCGTTTTATTGCAGACAACAACAGGGTGTGACTTGCCATGTGATTTGGAACTCGCATGGCATGGCAAACTGCACCCGGTGTGCTGCATGCTGGCACATTATCCTCTTCACAGGGAGAAGATTTGTTAGAATTTTTTTGCGGTTTACTACAGCTTTAAAGGCCAGTATCTGCAGATTAGTAGAATGCTGTGGGAGTGCAGTCCATGTCCTCCACTCACCTGATCTCTTTCAGTCCTTCTTTCTGGATCACCTGAAGGATTTCTTTGTGGCTCATAGGCGTGTTGTGATATTTTTCCAGCACCTGCGAAGAAGACAAGAATTCTCAGGACCAGTATTTAACCCCCGTGATGTATAACCACCACTGTAAGTGCCTGTCTTTAGGACACCAATGGTCACATTTATACAGGAAAATAAAAGTTTTGACCACAAAGAATAAATCATTTCAAAAACAAGATTGATGCAATTCGTAGGGGCACTCTACTGCACAAACATCCATCCCACTTAGCATACCTTATACTAAACCTCCCTCAACACTTTCCTCTTTTGACCTTGCTACTACCAAAGAGGTCACTAATGTTTTCTCAGAAGCTCACTACCTGCCCCCTAGATCCTGTTCCCTCACAACATCCTCTTCTTCGATCCTCACTCACATCTTCAATCTTTCCCTCTCTACAGGCACCTTCCCCTCCCCTCTAAAGCATGCGCACATCACTCCCATACTTTAAAAGCCCTCCCTGGACCCCACCAACCTGAACAACTTAAGACCCATCTCCTTGCTGCCATTTACCTCTAAACTCCTAGAAGGCTTAGTCTACAATCACCTGAGCTCCTACCTCACTGACAACAACCTTCTTGACCCCTTACAGTCTGGCTTTCGCTCACTACACTCCACTGAATCTGCCCTACTAAACCTCACTAATGATCTACTAACTGCTAAAGCCAATGGCCACTACTCCATACTCTTACTACTTGACCTCTCTGTGGATTTTGATACTGTTGACCATCCCCTCCTCTTCAAAAAACTCCACTCTCTTGGCCTCAGAGACTCTGCTCTCTCCTGGTTCTCCTCCTACCTAACGCAGCGCTCCTTCAGCTTTACCTATAACTCTGTCTCCTCCTCTCCACTCCCTCTTTCTGTAGGGGTTCCTCAAGGTTCTGTCCTTGGACCCCTTCTCTTCTCCATCTACACCTCCCTCCCTTGGTCACTTGATAAACTCCCACGGCTTTAAGTACCATCTCTATGCTGATGACACACAAATCTATCTTTCTACTCCTCACCTCACCCCTTCAGTCTCCTCTCGCATTACTAACCTACTAAGTGACATATCGGCATGGATGTCACTCCACTTCCTCAAACTCAATCTTTCCAAAACTGAGCTCTTAGTATTCCCCCCAGCCCGTACCCCCTCCCCTGACTTCTCCATCAAGATCAATAACACAGTCCATCAGTCCCTCCCCTCATGCCAGGGTACTAGGTGTAATCCTAGACTCCCATCTGTCCTTTCAGCCCCAAATCCAATCACTGTCCAAATCTTGTAGATTTCACCTCCGCAACATCTCCAAGATACGCCCGTTCCTAACCTCTGAAACCACTAAGCAACTTATTCACTCCCTGGTTATATCTCACCTTGACTATTGTAACTCCCTCCTCATTGGCCGACCTCATCGCAGGCTATCCCCTCTTCAGTCTATCATGAATGCTGCTGCCAAACTCATCCATCTTACTAACCGTTCTGTATCTGCCACCCCTCTCTGCCAATCCCTCCACTGACCTCCACTCAGTGTCCTCCACCCCTCTCTGCCAATCCCTCCACTGACCTCCACTCAGTGTCCTCCACCCCTCTCTGCCAATCCCTCCACTGGCCTCCAATCAGTGTCCTCCACCCCTCTCTGCCAATCCCTCCACTGGCCTCCAATCAGTGTCCTCCACCCCTCTCTGCCAATCCCTCCACTGGCCTCCATTCAGTGTCCTCCACCCCTCTCTGCCAATCCCTCCACTGACCTCCACTCCTCTACCCCTCTCCCTCTCGGCCAATCGCTCCACTGGCTTCCCATTGCCCAACGGATAAAATTCAAAACATTAACAATAACATATAAAACCATTTATAACTCTGCCCCAAATTACATCACCAATCTTGTCTCCAAATATCACCCAAACTGTACTATCCGCTCCTCCCACGACCTCATGACTCTCTAGCTCCCTTGTCTCCTCCTCCCATGCTCGTCTCCAGGACTTCTCCAGAGCCTCCCCCATCCTCTGGAACTCTCTACCCCAATCTATCGCCTACTCTGCCCACTTTTAGGCGATCTCAGAAAAAATATCTCTTCAGGAATAAAGAAGGGAAGGGATATAATACACAGAGTGCCAACATCCCTAAAGAATACAAAGGGGGGAGTCCTCTTCTGGATGGGACGTTAACGGCACAATTCTCTTATATAATCAATTTGAACAGTTCAAAAAGGATTTTTTTTACAACAATATGCAGTTTTATTTTCCCAACCATCCAAGAACAGATTGGTGAGGAACGATGCCTTTTCCAACATGATGAAGCACCTTGCCATAAGGCAAAAGTGTTAACTAAGTGGCTTGGGGAACAAAATATCGACATTTCGGGTCCATAGCTAGGAGAACTTGTGGTCAATCCTCAAGAGGCGGGTGAACAATAAAAACTCCCCACAAATTCTGACAAACTCCAAGCACTGATTATGCAAGAACGGGCTGCCATCAGTCAGGATGTGGCCCAATGTTGATTGGCAGCAGAGTGAACTGCAGAGGTCTTGAAAAAGAAGGGCCAACACTGCAAATATTGACTCTTTGTACTGTAATTGTCAATAAAAGCCTTTGACACTCATGAGATGCCTGTAACTCTA